GATATTCTACCAATGAGGGTTAGCAAGTATGAAAAAAAATATCACAAAAAATATGAGTAACATAAAATTTTATCTAAACTTAAGATATAATATAACTAAAATAATATCATTTTCATTCTAATGCTAGTTTAATTTCCGCCTTGTTAACTGATACGTTCTAATGCACAGTTTAATTTTCATCCTGTTATCTGATAAAAAATTTGTGGTAAAACCTATTTGCCGTCTTTAGAATAATCATATTCCACACATACGCTGTTCTAACAAATTCGTCACTTCTGTTGACAGAGTTTATCGCATTCCAACACCTGTTGTTTTGTCTGGTTACAAAATATCTGTCTACATAGTAGTAGTATAGGAAAATGAAGGGTTTGGCGGGGGTGGGGGAGGAGGTGTGGGAGGGGGTGGTGGGCCAAAACTCTCATTTTCCTATACTACTAAACCATTTGAAATGTTTCTTTCCTTTGTGTAAAGATTTCATCAGAATCAGTCTTAGTAACAGTGACTGTGATAGCAGTGGGTTATTTGCTCACGGAGGGTGTTATTTTAACCGAGCTTGAGTTAAGGTTTTGCACTTATAACTGACAAGCATTATATGTATGAACAGGATGATCCAGTTAAGATTGAAATTCCTGATGTATACCTTTTTGTGCAATTACTAGAGCTTTGAGAATGATGTTGCTCAGAAAAGTATTCTTTTATCAGACACAATTATTGGTCAGTCGTTTGATGAAGTCACTTCCTCTCCTCGTAGAGGTATTCACCAGTGTTACTCAGTTTACTAATCATTTTCTCTATTCTAAGCAGTGTGATGAACGACAATCACTTGTTGCCAAACAGGAAAATAATACTGATATCTTCTTTTGTTTTAGACATTATTGGCGAAATTCAAGCCACACAATTATAACTTTGTTATTTCGTTACAAATTAGGTCCAAACGAGAAAAGAAGACCACTTGAGATACCAGCTGATTACGAGTGAACAGTGATTTAGCATAATGTTGCTGTTGCTAGCAGGAAATTTTTAGTCGAATCCATGCACCTCCCTCGGCTGGTCATATAGTAGCCAGTAAAACGTATCACAAAATCTTTAATGTTTACTGGCCTATAAAAATATTGATGTTTCTAAATACTTTAGATCGTGTGACACGTCACAAATGATTAAAAGATACATACGGCTCATTTGTACCATATTCATGCATTTGACAAACCATTTAACCGAAGAATGACCATAATGTTTGCGTTCACAAGATTTCCAGAGGCTATTCATTTGAGGGATATTAAAACTAAAATTATTAAAATCTTTGATAAATTTATTTTTATAACTGCATGGCTTTCCCAAATCTAACAAAGTTTGCTTGAAGTATGCATCAAACAGTCTAAATCATCTGCCTATCACCCTGAAATGAAAGCGTCTTCGGAAAGAGTTCTTCGACCTTTGAAGAATATGATTCGATATTTTTGTTTCGATACAGGAAATAGTTCATTTGTGGGTTTTGCTGTTATGGAGTCTATTTGAGAATATTTGTGTTTTACTGCTCTTGTACTAATCTTTGAACACACTTGGACCATTGAGTTACTATGAAATGGAAATAGCATATGACATAAATGCAGAGGTAAAACGTTTTTAGTCTGGTGATAACGTTTTTCCTCTCTTGCCCATATATCAAAACCTACTTCAGGGTAGGTATTATGGTTCTTATCTAATTGAATAGAAAATAAGTGACTTAAAGTATATGATTAACACTTCTGGGAGTAGGTAACACAATTTATTTTATGCTCATCTTTTTTTCCGTTAACTTTCCATTGTCAGAATCGTGCGATATTCCCCGATATTGAACACCTTACTACATCCCGCGTGCAAAGGAACTATTTTTTAACGTACAATTTTTTACGATTGAGCTAAAGCAGCTATTTCATGGACGGCCACATACCAGCAAATGTTTCATAACCTGATACATATAAACTGCTTTGGCACATTCCGCGTTTTGATACAATGTTTAAAATTTAGTTAGATATAGACGCTATACAGGGTCCTCACAATAAAATGCAAGTTATACAAATAAACTGTCTTCATTAGCTGTTAATAAAAATGGCCAAAAATATATTTACAATTTGACATCCGGAATTTCCTCAAAAAATATACTTTCATAGGTCTGTAAATCTGAATTAGATGAGCCATGTCATGGGTTTTCAAGGTTGAGTACACATTTTGCAATTGCACTGTAATTTTGAGTATATTCCAAGTGCAGTTATGTCCTCCTCTCTGCACTCAGAATGAAATAAACATTAAATTTCACAGCATCTTTTCGATAATTGCAATGGAAAGGCTTCATAATTTTCCCACATTATGATCTGAATAATTCAATGACAGAAAAGAAACAGGCATGTCAACACAATTCAAAACGATTACATTGGCAGACGCTGCTGAAATTCGATACAAGTCACTTCATGTAGATAAATCCAGACAATGATCAAAAGATTGCGTTGAATCGTCAAAAATACCAAAAAGTATTCATTCCAGATGAAATGGACAAGTTGCTGCAATGTGTATTCATTAACAATATTACTCCAGATTTTAATTTTAAGTAGAGCAAGCACCATTGTCTTTCGAAACTTACGTCTTGCGCGGGACCAACTTCATATTTTTCTGTGCGAAGTTATGCGCTGATTAATAATGTTGTGTAATGATCCATGAACGCTTATGTATTTAGTTTGGAATACGGCATACATTTAGTTACTTTGTTTCTTGCAGTATATTTTTGTTTATATATTTAAGCCTTGGGAAGAATAAAAATGAGCATATAATAAAAAGGTTGCTGTATTTGTATGGGAAAATATGAACTCGTATTGTCGGAAGGATATACTGAAATCCCAAGGTTGTGCAGTATATCCTTCCGAAAAACTCGTTCATAGTTTTATATACAAATGCAGTAGCCTATACACTTTTGCGTATAAATATGTTAAATAGTTTTGATAGAGATAGCCTTGTTAATCATTCAATCAAAGCAGCTGTACTGGTCCACACAGATACAATGTAATCGCACAGCAGCGACTTTGGTTTAACCAGTCATAGTAATTCAGACATACTGAACAATGTATACCAGAAACGTTCTCATTTGCTGCCACAAGAAATTCGTAAACGAAACAATACATCGATAAATATTAGCATTTGTTTCCAGATGTTCTATCATCTAACATGACGTTGAAATTATAAATTCTACACATGTGAAACATCATCTTATAAGATGAATAATCTCAAAGAATTTCAATATTTCATGGAGCATGATTTCATTGAACTAAAGCAAAAAAAAGTAATTTGAGTTCACCAAGTATTATTGAGCCGAAAACAGACACTTTCCACGTAGGTACTGGCTGTACTAAAGTTAACAAGTGTTACCAAAATCAAAATCTTCGATTGCCATGAATCGATGACTGCGTTGCCACAATTGGACACACAAAATGTATCATTAAGTTTGATGTTTTGAAAGGATTCTGACAAATTTCACTCGTGGATAAAAAAGGAAATTTCGTCTTTCAGATGGATTTTATATAAAATGATGCCGTTTGGTATGAAACATTTTTCAACTTTCCAACGCTTATTGAACATTATAATATCTAGTACAAATAAGCTTGACGTGATCATCTACAATGTCACCTGTAAAGATAAATTGAAAACTTTTAGAAAACTCTTTCATCGATTCAATGATGCAAATTTTAGATTTAATTAAATAAGTAAATGTTGCCATGCTTGTGGTATATTTTCAGGAATTATATTGGGACACTGTCAGATGTATAGACGCTATGGTCAGTTATTGCCTATCAAATCTATAGACGTTATGATCAATTCAGTGCATATCATTAAAAAGCAGTTGATGCATTTTTCATGTATGGCTGAATATAATGGGAACTGGTGCCCAACATTTCATAATTGCTGAACCTCTGACCTATTTGTTGCCTAAGAAATCCAAGTTTCATTGGTCCAACAAATGTTTTTGATAAATTAAAGGCCATGCTTAAAAGTGCACCAGTTCTTTTAGCTTCTTATTGTATGTTGATGAAAGTGATGTAAGGTTTGGTGGAGTATTAATTCGAAAAGACAAAAATGGTATTTTGTTTCTAAACAATTAGACAAGAACCAAAGAATCTATTCCTCAAGCGATAAGGGATATTTGGAATCGATATCGGCTTTGAAACACTTTAAGGTGTATATTATTTCATCTCTTTCTCAGATTATTGTTTTTCAGTGATCACATCACACATACTTTCAATAACAATATGAAAACCAAACATCAGAGGTTATTGAAGTGGAGTTTGATTTATATGAATGAAACATTGACTTTAGGTACATCAAACAAACATTACTCTGATTGGACATTCACTTTCACATGTGTAGATCTACTATATTTTTATCTTTGTATATTTTGAGATAGTCATAGGACATAATCCTATATAATTGTAATTTTAAAGTCTATTTCATTAATATATAAGAAAAGCTTTATTATATTAATGTTTCTGTTTCTTTCTCACGGAGGTCTCCCTGACTAATCCCATCATTCTGAGTATTTTTGGAAATATGTTACATTGATAAATCCTGTTTTTCATCTAAGTTTCATTTTTAGAGTATTGTTATTGGTCTGGAAGTCCAGTGTCTCGCTCAAATGCCGGATAAACTTCATCAATTCGTCTTGAAGACGTAGATTACGTCTTTATGCGAGACATCAACATTTTTGATTGATAAGATGAAGTGCGTGAGTATGTGTGTGTGTGTGTTTTAGATTTTAACGTAGCTTTAACCCTTTTTCAGTCATATCGTTACTATATATGTAGTGTGGCAGTTTATAGTGATGTCGAGGACTTGGGCATCATGCCGCAGACATGTAGTAAGATGTCGCAACCAGTCATATTATCTTGGCATCAAGGCCGACCAGTCCTAACACTAACCTCTTAATGCAAGGCACCAAGGGAGACAGCTTGTTATACCATTTTTATAATACTTTGGTATGACTCAGCCGGGGGCTCGAAACTGAGACCTCCCGCATCCAAGGCGGACACTCTAACCACTAGGTCTCTGGTGCGATCAGGTAATGTGGGTGTATTTTTTTTCATTGCCTTATCCCCTTTTTGTCGTTATTGGCATTGAAACGCAATGAAATTTTTTTGTCAGAAAACATGGTCCCGATTCATCCGAATGGGCAAATATAATGCTAATAACTGACTGAATACTTGACACAATAAATATGTAACATAGCTCTAATAATTGTTTCCTAAGTGTGTACATCCAATTTCAATTGATTAGGCACTTTGCAATTCGCTTCAAAACTGAATGAGAGGTATCATGTTTCACTATACTTTAATAAAATTTTCTAAGTTGTACATGTCACGAAATTGTATAAATCCCATAATTTATTAATTTCATGTATTCTGGTTTCATTTCTTGTGTACAACGATATCCGAGGGTGAGATATGTATATTGTACAATATTTCGAAACAGTGACTTCGGATCATCCTATGTCACAAGTGCGAAATGCTTTCAAAAGGAAAACTCGAATTCTTCTCGCGCACAACTGATGATATCGTCTGTTTATAAATACTTCACCGTTAAGTCGATATCTTCACATTACGGAACGACTTGTCTGTCAGCGTATTACTTAGAGATTTGAAGTGTTTTGAATTAAATTTATTTTCCTTGCCCCCAATTGCATTTATTTGATGATGAATGTGGCAAGTCAACAGAGAAAGTACACTATTTGATAATGATGCTTCTTCTTGGGTTGCAGAGTCCGATGACTTTCTGCAATTGATGTATTTCTCGCAATTAGGGGGGGGGGAATGATTAGGCAGATCAGGAAGAAAGGACAGAATTGACTTATTGTAAGGATCAAATCTTCACACATCCACGAAATGGAACGGATACGGGCTTTCAATTAAAGCAATGAAAGAGAATTGCAAGGATATAATCAGTGCACTGTTTGATGATACTCCTCCTTGTAATCATGGTGATCAAAGCTGACGGTAGCTGTGGAGCTGACAATGGAAGATGACCATGACCGCTGTGGTGCTGGCCATAGCGACTGTGAGAATAACGATAGAGCTGGAAACATAGCAGGTTGGACGGCGGCCGTGCAGCTGAATGAAGTGTATTGCTAGTCGGGTTGCAGGTGATCGGGCGTTGCTGACCAAATTGGTGGACGCTGATTGCTTGACTGACCAAGGAATTGAATGGTGGTCAGTGACTACCTATAATGTTTGCTTAATTGACCAGTGTGACTGGAAGCCAATATTGACGGGAGTGTTTTGAGTTACCCCATGCATGTAATCTTTTAGCTGTTGGCTAACTTTGGAGGTTTTGTTATACCCAGGATTTTGGAAACATAAAGATATTTTTGTATGCTACCTGTCTAATCAATTTGTCAGTGTGCTATTTGAGTAAAGTATGTCAGTTTTCACTAATTCAGTGAATACACCATTTTTATTCTTTTCATCGCATGAAATTATTGTGAATCGTTCACCGTTGTACTTGAACTAAGTAATGTGATTTATTTTTATTCATATTTGTTGCATTTTTAGGTTCGAGTGAATTATATTTATTTATCCAATATTTTGATCCTATATGCACTTATTAATAAATTTTATTTTCTTCTTCAAGTCATAGTCGATCAACATTGTATTTGTGTTACCATCAAAAGTGTTCTGTTGTAACTTCGAAATCAATCTCGATGATTTTGTTGTACAGTACAAACCCAAACTACTACTTGCTTCTTGTCACCATTCATTTGTCAGCTTTACCATCTAAACTTTGTCATTTTCTCTTTAAAAATGTTATAAAAATATTTACATTTAATTATAGTTTTCCAATTTAAACTTTTATTTAAAATTGTATTCAAATTTAATGTATCATGTCTTTACATTTCAAATTTTCTCTCAGAAATTATCATACATTTGAATAAGTTTCTACTCCAATTAATATTTTTATATTTTTATAATTAAGGAAGATATAAAAAATTTAGTCTTGCACCTTGAACCGTTCCGGTGTCCTAGTGGTTAGAACGTCCGCATCGGATGCGTGAGGTCGTGGGTTCGATCCCCGGTTGAGTCATACCAAAGACTTACAAAAATGGTACTAACAGCTTCTTCGCTTGACGCTCAGTATTGTATATGTTATCGGCTAATTTGTTTTGCCACCAATACTTTCAATTTGGTAATACGAATTTATTATTATTATTATTATTATTATTATTATTATTATTATTATTATTATTATTATTATTATTATTAGTAGTAGTAGTAGTAGTAGTAGTAGTAGTAGTAGTAGTAGTAGTAGTAGTAATAGTAGTAGTAGTATTTTTATTATTGCCGTTGTAAATGTTATTTAGAGTGAAAAGAAATGACACACTTACTGCAAGATGTACACTTTTATTGTGGGTTAAAATGTCATTTCACGCTTGACATCACAATACCTGTGTTTAGTTGACATGATAAAATAGAAAGCAGAGTGTGAACACTCTCATTCGCAACTTATTCTGAACAGGTTGACTAATACCATCAACGAACAGGTCATTCTCTCTCTCTCTCTCTCTCTCTCTCTCTCTCTCTCTCTCTCTCTCTCTATATATATATATATATATATATATATATATATATATATATATATATATATATATATATATATATATATATATATATATATATATATCAACGCTAATGAAGTTATTTCTCTCTAATCATTAATGTTATTATTCAAGATGTACTTGTGTAACCAATCGCAGATATCTAGCTTATAGTTAAACTGTGCACTCAGGCAAAGATGCATTTAATGCTTAAAGCAAAAATAATTTTAGATGATGATAATGATGATGATGATGATGATGATGATGATGATGATGATGATGATGATTATTATTATATTATTATTATTATTATTATTATTATTATTATTATTATTATTATTATTATTATTATTATTATTATTATTATTATAGCGCTCATTTTCTTTTTTATGTTGCATAATAGCTACGTTTGAATTCGAACAAGCTCTGAGCATTTAATTTTCGCTATGTTGCTGGGGGAGGTAAGATGGCAATTATTTGACTCCATTTCAAATTTTTGTGAATTATGACCGCATTACGAAAATATCGAAAATTAGACCTCGCAGCAATATCGCCATGTATTTTATTGAAAGTACGTGGTTTCTAATGGCAGTTTAATCAGTCCATGTTTATCTCCTTCTTTGTGAGATTTATACCAATATAGGGAAATCGTACATACTTGAGAAGGACAAGGGTGCGATATGGAATTACATAGAAATCACACAATTACACATAGAAATTACATAATTACACATAGAAATTACACAATTACACATAGAAATCACACAATTACACATAGAAATTACACAATTACATATCTAATTCATACTTTTATAAATACGAATACATTCTATATGCAATATCTTGATGGCGTTTTCTACCGATAAATGGGTCATTTTCATTTTCTCCAATTCAACATATATCTGAATCCAATGATAACAAGCAAAAATTCTGATTAGTTGCAAAACTAGTGTAACTTTCTGCAGAAAATACTGCAGCTAACATCATAAAATTTATGTAGACTTTTCAGTCCTGCAGTCCACGTGGATCTAAGAACCATCTACCCATAATGCGCTGAATAAATTCCTCAGGCTCAATGCAGCTCCTATTGTCAGTGATTATACTATTTCTGTTTACCACGTACAAGTGGGGCGATATAAAACATTGCTTTCTAAATGAGCAGAGATTATCGATATAACGGTGATATCACCAGCTACCGCAAGGTTTCCAGAAGGAAATAATCTTACGGTTTTTCCTAATTTGCAAAGAAGAACAGCTTATCATATTGGTATTGGCTCATATATAGTTTCGTCTATAGTTATAATGTTAGAGATATTATAGTATGATTACTTAATTATAATGAAGGCTTACAAAAATGTTACTAACAGCTGCCTTGCTTGACGCTCAGCATTAAGAGGTTAGTGTTAAGACTGGTTGGCCTGGTATTAAGATAATGTGACTAGGTGGGAACATCATGCTACACGTCTGCGGCATGATGCCCCAGTGCTAGACATCACTATAAACTGCCACACTACATCAATTGTATCGATATGATTGAAAAATCGTTATAAGCTAAACATCATAATGACATCACTTAATTATAATAAAGAATTTGCTATTAATTCTCATTAGGGCAAGATTTCTGAAAGGTCCTCGTACCATACAATGCCAAATGTCTTCTTTATGTCCAAAATCGGGGCATGGGTTCTAATTCAATGGTAGCTAAAGCTTCTTCGTGTAAATTAAAGGATGTTGCTATGCATCTAAATAACTTTGTAAACCCTGCTATTGAGCATTCAGAACAATTTGAATGTTTGTTTTGTACCATGCCTTAAATCAATTAATTATGTATTTTTCAAATAGTTCGCACAGAACTGGTGGCAAATATATAACCTTGTAGTATCATGGCGTTAGACTTTCATCTGCGTTTGTAGATTGGTGCATTTATGCCGACTTTTCTGTCAAATGGTATACGGAAGTATTTATGTATAGCATTGAATAATTTTGTAATAATTTATATCAGTTTCCTGTCTCCATATCTTTTATGCACTTTCTGTATATCATATGTTATATGCTCTTTCTTTACACAATATACTGTATGCTCTTTCTGTACACAATGTATTGCATGCTCTATCTGTAAACAATATACTGTATGCTCTTTCTGTACACCATATATTCCCCGGCGTGGTACGTAACTTAAGTTTTTTTTTATATGAACGCTGACATTACAGCAAATGAAAAATTTTCATAAAATTGGGTTCTTTAAGATCGGTTTCTTTATTCAGCTTAAAGATAGTGAGTTAATTATTATCTAGGGTGTATAGGTTTTTTGATATATCTTGCGAAAATTGTAGCCATGTTTTGTGGACTAAATGGTATTTCTACATCACATCTGAATCAGATTGACTACTCCTATTGAGTTATTTACAATACATTTTCCAGAAAAGTCTAACATCAAACTCTGCTGCTTCATCTATATCGTT